TTAATATTATTTTATATAAACTCATATTTTTATATATTTAACCATCAAACAAAATATCTAGCAAAACGCATTTCCTCCAATATATAAAGATTCCTTTAAAATCACACAATCATTATTTTATTCAACCCATATTTTATAAAGTCAAATAACAAAATTTTGAATTAAAAATTAAAAGAACAAAGAAGAGAGAGAAGCCTTTGAAATCTATCACAATTGTGATAGATTTTTATTATCATAGGTTTGTATTCTCTTTGAGATTGTTTGCGAGTGATGAAATATCTCTTTAGTAATGAATTTTTTTCCTCATCTTTGAATATGTGCACATATACCAATTTTTGGAATATGTTATGATAAAATATAATGATGATTTCAAAATTTGTCACAAATTTTTATCATTAAAAATCTGTGTTCTTTTAGTGTTTACATTATAACCAATAATAATTACCATAAATTTATTCCCAGTTTTGGTTCTAAAAATTAATGAAAAATGTTCCCTCAACCCCCAACCTCAGAATCCCCAAGTCAATCTTTGATCTCTTGTTTCGGCACCAGGCAACGGACCACTATCGCCAAGAAATGTCCGTCTTTGCTCGTCCAAATTTTGGATCCAATGTGAATGGAAGGAGATTAACCACTGTTATAATGAAAGGTTCACCCTTGATTTGTTTTCTTCTTTAAGCCTGGTTTACCCAGCTAAATTATGTTCATATTTAATTGGTTTAGATTTTTTGGCGTTGATTTTGTGTGCATTTGAACCATGATTTTGGTATTCTACCTTATTGAATGTAAAATATATTAAAACTGTAAAATTCAAAATAATAATGATAAAGAGTTGATGGGGTTGACCTATTGTAAATTTGAAGAGTATGAGTCACGGGTCATGAAAACCTTACTCATATTCGTTTACAATGGGCGAGTCTGGATTAGATTTGCGAGTCGCATCAAATTTTGCCACCTCTACTTGTATTGAAGAAATCCCCCGCTAGCTCTGCGTGGGGTCAAGAAAACTGTAGGGTAAACGCAATGAAGTAAAATGAAAGATTAAAAAGTTTTTTCCCTCTAGTAAATTAAGACCAGAAGTAATGTTCTCATGGAAAAGTGGCAACAAGCTTAATGAATGAGTTGGGGTCCAGTTTTCACGGAAAAACGTAGGAAACCTACAAAAGAGGCCCATGTATACATATATATATATATATATGTATTAGTATAACTTTAACTTTCAGCAACACGGTAGCACGTTGATGAAAGTGCTCCCCATGTTGCTAAAAGTATTTTAATAACAAGAACCATGTTACTAATGCCTTTGTTGAAGAAGTTTTGGTTGACAATACATTACCAACAAGCTTCACATTACTGATTCAAAGCATTTTTTTCAGCAATATACCTCTTAATGCTAAAAGTATGGTTTCACTGACGTGACTTATGTTGTTAAAAAAGTCACCAGAGTCGATCATTGAAATTCTGCACTTTTTTTAGCAACATACCTCTTGTTGCTGAAAGTGAAGTTTTACTAACGTGGCTTACGTTGCTTAAAATAGTCATTGGAGTTAGTCATTGGAATTTTGGTACCATTTTCAGCAACAAGTCCCTTGTTATTGATAATGTCATAAAACCCACCCCATTTTCAGTAACATATCTCTTGTTGCTAAATATTACGTGAATAGTAGAGCATCCTACTTTTAGCAATAAGTCCCTTGTTGCTGCTACTCTCATGAATAGTAAGGCCACCTTATTCTCAGTAATATATCTCTTGTTGTTGAATATTATGTGAATGGTATTACAAAAAAAATATTATGTGAATAGTAAAGCATCCTACTTTCAGCAACAAGTCCATTGTTGCTACTTATTCTGTCAATAGTACAAGCATGCACGCCTCTTGCCAATTAACAAGATGTTTCACATCGGTGATGCTCAAAAATGCCCTTTTTCGAGTTGTTTTATTGACAAGTGGCATGTTGCTATACTATTTTACTTTGAAAAAAAATATAAATTCATATATTTTCTCTACCAATATTATGAATGCATATTTCTCAGTTACATTAACATTTTAAAAAAATAAATTGAATTAATTTCATGCTATAATTATAAAATTTAACAATAACCTATTATTTAATTATAAAATTCACTTTTTGTAATTGCAATCACTAATTAATAAATTTTATGATATCTCACTCATAATATAATAAATTATACCAAAAAAATTATAATTGAATAATTAATATTTATTTTTATCATCTATATTTAAATTTTAACTAAATACATTTAAAATAAACATCTCAATTCTCAAGGCAATTAATGTCAATTTAGGGAACTTACCAAACTTGAACTTTTTTACTTTAATGAAATTTACCTACAAAACAAACAAAATACCAAGATTAATAACTATATATAGTTATTTATAATTTTATTAACTTTCAAATAAATTGAAACATACTTAATCACTTAATGTTTATAAAAATATTGAATACAATAAAATCAATATATGCTTCAAGAGAATGAAGAACTGATGAAAATTAATTTAATTACTGATATATGTTTGACAATTTTATGATAATTAAAAGATAATAAATAAATGATACTTGACAGATAGTTAATAGATAAAAAAATGACTGAGATATGAAGGATTTGTGCAAAAATGAAAAGAAAAAAAGGCTAAGAGATGGAGAAGGTAGAGAGCATATCATACAAGAGAGAATGGGAGGAGAAATGAAAGGATTGCTCAGCTCGGTTGGGGTAGGGTGGGACTATTTATAAAGCCTTCAGCATCACATATCATGTTGCTAAAAGGTTCCCCCCAAAAATCAGTAACATATTCCATGTTGCTAAAATTTGATTGAATTTCAAATGACCTAACTCATCACTGATGTGTACCATATTGCTAATGATTCAAATTACCATTCCCACTCATTGTTTGATTCATATACTTAAAAAAAATTATTTTTATCTCTAAAATTTAATTTCTTAGTTGATTTTTGTTACTTTATTAAATATTACTTAACACTTAACACATTAATTAATATAATTACATTATTCACTTTTTATTTAAATGATTTAAATCTCAATTTTGTCTAAAAAAATAATGTGGACATACTTTTAAGTTTACAAAATATTTCACATAGAAATATACTTTTATTTTGCTTAAGAGTCAACTATTGAAAATGAGAATTGAATCTAAGAGTCAACTCTTTACATGGAAAGGTGTATATATAATGGCAAA